AAAAGTTTCGGCCAGTTTTATGTGTTTATGAAATTATTATAACTAACGTTATTTGTCATAATTTTGACATCAAAATAACATTAAAGATATTTTAATATTACATTGACGATAAATAACGTCAACTAGTTCGGTAGCAATATATAAAAACAAATTCTCAAGTGTTAGTTACATATTCTTATTAATTATAAATATCAAAAAGACTGCATCAAAAAATTATTATTAATTAATGAATTGGAGACCGCTCTATTGGTTACTTGGGATAATTCATTCGTGGAAAGATTCATCGTTGATACATATCTTAAAGCTTATATTAAAGCTAAAGATAGGTATTTTGAATATTAATTATGTTTTTAGCATATAATTATTATTTTTAAATAACTAACATTCTAGAATTTATTTTTTTAAATATAAATTATTAATAATTTAATAAAAACTTTGTGGCTAATCTTTTCTATAGTCTTGCATTAAGTGACATTGCGTTGTACCTGTTAGCCATACCAGCAATCTGATAACCATAATCCCACCAGCTCATGACTCTAGCGTCATTGGCGGTGTTTTGTGCCAACCAATAATAAGCTTCTCGAAAATCATCCAATATGGCCCTGCCACCATCATTACTGTAGGACGCCAAAACAATGGATGGGCTAGAATAAGCATTACTAGTCACCCATGTACAGTGCACGGTAAACATCATCAACAGCATCAACATGCCGATAATAATGACGTTGCGAAGATTGGGACCTAATCCATCACCGTTGCCTTTTGACCTTTCATGTTTCATTCTGCGAAGTTTACCGGCCTTATCATACAACGCTCTACCGGGACTTCTCTCTCTTTCTTCCTCGCTCTCCTCGTTACTCTCATTACCGTTACCGTCTCTGTCTTCCTCTTTGAGGAACAATTCCACGAGTCTACTGACAGCGACTCCAGCCAATATACACACTACCGGAGTCAGAGTCAACATAAGCCTTACCATCACACCAGCGAAATAAACGGCACTTATGGCATATAGTACGACTGCAAGAAGATCGAATATTACAGTTTTTCTTATTGATATTTTATTCCAAAACACACTCTCATCATAGATTCTTACCAAAAACACGCTCGTCATTGACATGTGTGATGCAGTACCAAAGACCAACTGGAAACAATGCAACCAAAATATGTAAGTCAAAGAAAAAGCTGAACCAAGTTGTCGGCTGATGTTCCGATACAGATGCTATTATAGGGATATGTATCTTGGCATAACCAGTATCCCACAATGAATAAAATCTACCACTCCAAGGAGCGACAACGCCAGTGTATGTTAAGATGATCAAAATTAATAGCAGCATAGTAGTTGTTACAGCCACCACACCACCGAAATATTTCATTTCGGACTTGGTAAGTACAGTTCTTAAGTATCTGCAATTAAAAAGCTCAATGTAAGTAATGCACTGCAATATATATCAGAGTATGTCCAAAATGTAATGAAAAAAATTTTTTCTGCATTTATTTGAAAATAATACAATAATCATGATTTTCTGTATCAATTACAAACATCAATTTACAGAATAATAAATAAAATTTTTTAAATTTAAATAAATGCAAGTATTATTTGACATGGATGTAATAATAAAATGTAAATATTTCTAATTAAAATATAACAATTGTAACGCTTAAGTTTTTCAATTTATACTATTTTTATAATTTGTTAGGAATGAATTTTGTGATCAAGTCTAATTTTGTTTTAATTTTTATTTCTATATCTTGTAAATTTGGACAGAAAAATTTTCATTAGCTAAATATTTTAGGAATATGATTGTATTACTATGAATAAGTACTGCAAATTAAAATATTGGGTCATCTAAAAACCGCGGATACTTTTTAGATGACCCAATAATACAATAATGAACAAATTAACGTTCTAAAAACGGTACATACCTAAAAGCTGCTACAAAGATTGTCAGGCCAAATACACCACTAGCTGCCATATGTTCAGAAGTTCTAATCGGTTGAAAACCGACAAATGGTATCTGCATACTTAGTAAAAGTCCAAGAACGTAAAACGTAGTGTAACTCGTGAACAATCGATTGCTAAAGCGATTCATGATCAGTAAAGCAAACACATGAAGTGGAATCAGATTAATAATGAACACATAGCCTCCCCATGCTGATACCATATAGAAGTAAGATAGGGCAGTTATGCTCGCCCAAAAGATTGAGCCAGTTTTAACTGATTTAACCCAAAGATAATAGGTAATTTGCAATGCAAAGATCGCGATTCCCTCATTGTCGTAACTCCCGGCTACAGATCTTGAGATGTAGCCAGGTACAATGGCGATGAAACAAGCGGCGAACAAGCCAGCCCCAGCACTCCATATTTCTTTCGTTAATAAATACGTAGATATGGCAGTAAGGCCACTAAAAATTGGAGCTAGAAATACACATATGTCTCTTATATGCACTGGTATGTTCAGAGAGTGCAGTATGTAGTGTATCGATCCAGATGTTATCATGAGTCCAGGATAAACGGTTCCACCAACAATCCGGCCTAATGGATACCAGGCCCGTTCGTCGAACCAATTTAGAAAATTGTAGAATCCATGTTGAACCATGTACGCTGTCGCTCTATAGTTGAACCTGAATTTAAAACATATTTATTACATCCTATCGCTAACTAGTAAAAAAATTCGTACTGCTATTTACTTATTAAAAATGAATCAATATACAGACAGAATAAACAAAATAGAACTACAAATCTTTTAACCTAAATTTAAGCTATTTAAATTATTTAACTTATCAATATCCAGATAGCCAAAAGCTAAGAACAGGTACTATGTAACATTAACATATTATGTTGATAAACAATAACAGTACAATCTACTGTTTTCCTGATATTTGCAAAAATATATCAGAAAAAAAGCAAACCGTACATTATAAAATCATAGGTTTTCTATAGCTAAATTAATGTATATTTTGGAACTTCACAGATTCATTTTTTATTTCTACATTAGAACTTTTTTTCTCATTTCAGCCAAATATCAAATATATACTTTCATTCTAAACTAATTTAGCTATAAAAAAAGATTTAAAGTGAAATAGATATATTTGATATTTGGCTAAGGACCCTATTCTTAACTTTTATGTGTCAATGTCATTATATTGTCAGTTTTATACATAAAAAAAGCTAAGCAATCAAACAAAGTTGAAACAAGTGTTGTTCTATGTTTGTTATTCATTGAATGTCAAAGATAAAACGACATTTGTGTCAACTATTTATGTTAGAATAGAAGCCCTAGGCCAATATTGCATTTGTCAAATGTTGATTGGCTATAGGATAAAGAAATTCAAGATTTCTGTCTTACAGCCAATTTACATTAACATGTTTGAAAAATTTATCATATGTAATATTAGCCTAAAGCAAGAAGAAAAGTTTTAGTACAGGAATAAAAAACAGACATGACAATATGCTCCATTTCTGTTGCATTTTTGTTAAATTATGGCTGACAAAAAGTCAAGTATAAAGAAGACACAGTGGATAGAAATCTATTCTAAAATTGACTATCTGAATACTCGTTCTCTTATATTTTCCAGATAAACTCGAAGCATTGGCTACTAACTCACGCTTCCGTTATGTAACGGAAAAATAATAAAACGATAGTTTATCAAAAATATGATAGTGTACATCACATAGCCATGTTGAATGATCCCACACCAGGTTACGTACCAGGGATCAAACTCATGTATGATGCTTTCGAAACGTATGACCGCAAAAAGCCTCGAGGCGAAACCAGAGATCCAAGCAAGTAAGAGAACGGTGAAGGTGATGAGGGAACTCAAGCCAGCGGCGTTTGTCAACGTGGAGGACTTCATCTGTTTGGTCGTCGATCTCTTATCAGGGAACATGACCTTTGCGTTGGCTGACGACGTAGAGGACGACGATGAAGAGGACGACGAGGGTAATTGCTGCTGCTGTGACGACGACGATGACGACTTGTTCGGCAACATATTCTCTCGTTGGCTCGCGTCCGCCACGAGCGCGTTAAAATGTGCGACACACCGTATATATATCCGCGTATTATCGATACTCAGAACGTGGCGCGTTCGCCATATGTGCCTCCAGAATACCCGCGGTCTCGTGCGCGAGTCGAGATTGTCGAGAGCGGGACGCAACGAATTATCAAATGTCTCGCTGCACACCTGAACTTTAGGAGGCTAGGACACGTCGAACGCCGGCTACGTGTTAATCATGACTTCCACCGCAGCACCCGCGAAATCCGCACCAGGGTGCAGCAGTAGACAGGAAGTCGATAACTTTCGAACATGCGATACCGACATATCGCTCATTCAGCCTCAAGGTGCAATTTTATGCAATTCCATACTGACATTCGACGTTCATTTTTAGCGTCAAAATAGATCACATTGTCAAAACTGACGAGAAATCAAGCGTCATTGGCTGCGTTCAGCAGAAAAAGCAGCTTTGCAACTGTTGAAAATTCTCAGATATGATTGGTTTATACATTTAGACTTAGGAGGAACTAAGGGCAAGACCAATCATATTAAAGAATTTTACAACAGTTACAAAGCTGCTTTTTCTGCTGAACGTAGCCATTGGCTATGTTCAGCGGTTTATTTTGCAACTGTTGGAAGTTTTCTTCGCGCTGATTATGCTTATAGATCAAGAGAAATGGTCCTATCAGCAGATAATCGGTTACAAAACCATAAAACGGTTGCAAACTGTTGTGTTCTGCTACCCTTGTCGCCTGTTTTGATGTTAAAAAATGAGTGTAGAGTCAGCATGAAAAGGTACCTATAGGTGTTTTTTGTGATCTTTTTGGACAAACCAATCAGAAGATCCTATATAGAATTAATCAATAATTGGCAATGGAGAATTGAATATCAATTAGGTACTTCTTGTTATTTTTAAAAAATTATGTTATTTTTATTTATCAATTAAATGTTATTTTATTTTCAAGTTGTCGATATTGTGTTCAATCTGCTTTATGATTCAGTAATTATGATAACTAAAATATATCTTAATTAATAATTCTTCTGATGATGTTGAGATTTAATTCAATCAATAGTATTGTGTCAACAATTCGTGGTAAACAATTTGTTTTTCTTGGTAAAAGGAGTCCCGCGTGTTTTAAAGGCAACGGAAGTTCAAGATTAGTTCACAATTTCCAGATTTTTAGGTAGAGTGCAATATCATCATCCTTCGACTTTTAATTTTTTTCTTGTGATGTCAACACAACACTGAACAGGCGTTTCAAATCGTAAGGTTCAAAAAAACGAAAAATCTGTTGTGTAATAACAACATAATAGTAGAACAAAGTTAACATTCAATTTATTAAGAGAATAAACAGAATTATGTAAGTAAACACGCAAAATAAAAAGTATAAAGACAAGCATTATTATTCAAGGAAAGATTGAAAGAAATTCCTCAAGTAATGCTAGAAAAACCTTTATTTTAATAGTTTAAATGTAAAAAAAATGTTTATCAATAAAACGAATAGAGTGCTGAAAATTTATATAAGTATTATACATGTTTCATAATTTGCAAACGTTGCAGACTTGAAACAACAGATAAATAGTTTAATTTTTAGTTATAATTTGTGTAATTATAATATATTCTTATCTATACATAAGTTCATATAATTCCATCTTAAAATCAACTTTGTTTTTGCAGAATGTAATCGTAACAGAGGAATGTCACTATAATATAAATAATATAAATAAAATACATTGAGACTCCAATGTTCTCCAGTAGGGCAAGATTAACAAAACGCACAGGGAAAAATACTACTGGACGTTATGATTTTTTAAAGCTTTTAGTCACCGAATATACAACAACATCATCTAAAGGTAAAAGATTAACCTATAACAGAAACATATTTTTTAACTTTAAAGAAATGTAGGTATTCTTGAGACTTAGCAAAGTTTTTGTTATTAGTTTTATTTTTTAATTTTTCAAGTTTAAAACTGAAAAGTAAAATTATAAAACAAAATTATTTCAAATCATTTATATTTAAAAATCAAGAAAAGTCTTAAGATCATCAAGACGCATATGTTCTAATTATATTTAACTATAATATCACTTACAAAAGAATATGAATAAAAATTTATCAATAAAATTATTGCCTTTTTTGATAGATGTATATAATCTGTATAACAATAATTAATCAATTTCTTTCAAATTATTAGATGCACAGGAGCAAGTACTAGCAAATTTAGCAAATTTTGCATATGATCCTGTAAACTATGGATATATGAGACAACTAAAAGTAATTGATATATTTCTCAATGCTTTATCTCAAAGCAATCCAAAGTTAATACGTTTTGGTATTAGTGGTCTCTGCAATTTATGTTTAGGTAAGCATATTTTTGTTACGTGTGAAGAGTCATCTAATATTTGTTTTATTATATGTAATATTCTTTTCAGATGGAATAAATAAGTTATATATTCTGCGCAATCAAGGTGTCGAGTCAATATCGTCGTTACTTTCTTCCGAAGACGAAGATGTTTTGCTTGGAGTAATTACTACCTTGATGTTTTTGATAACACCTGAATCAGTAGACGAGATAACATCACCTACAATAATTAAACGTATGCTGGAACTTTCGGATCCATCATATGAACATAGGCGTGTTAAAAACGTAGCAACGTTATTTCTAAATGACTGTTGTGAAACGAGTGTTATAGAAAAAGTGAAGACAGAGAATCAATCTGTTTGTAAAAAATAAATCTAATTATTTATTGAATCTAATACTCTTTATTGATTTAAATTGATATTTTTTAGTAATTTGTAAATATAAAAAGTAATATCATGAAACTAATTCAATTCTTTGCTGGGTTTCTCAAAAATCATTCTGTAAGAATCACCAAAACACGATCATTCGCTGATGCAACAATGAACAATTTGAGAGAAGGAGATCAAGTGTCGGTTCTGAAAGTAATAACAAATGACGATATACTCAAGTTTGCTGAATTAACAGGCGATCATAATCCAATACATACTGAATCAGCAAAAAATATTGTGCACGGTGCTTTGCTCAATGGCCTAGTGTCGGGTTTAATTGGTACAAAATTACCTGGTGCAGGTACTGTAGTTATCGAGCAAAATATTACTTTTCCTAAACCGTGTTATGCTGGCGATACTATAGAAGTTATAGTTAAAATTACATCAGTAAGAAAAATCATTAAATGCGTGTATATGTGTATTGTTAATAAAGATAGAATCGTATTAGAAGGAGAAGCTAAACTTATGAGAAAGATATTGTAATATTTTATCATTTTACACTGAAAATATTTATAACATACAAAATTATAGAAATATTAATAAAAAATTTAGTAAAACTTGAAATGTTTTATTTCATAATATTTATGTATAAATACATGTATATTGATAATTATAAAAAATAGATATTTATATGTAGTTTGAAATTATTTTTAAGTTTTCTCTGAACATAATTTTATCTGAATATCATCAAAATTGTAATTAAAATCTGTTGCTAATTTGTACATAAGATATATTCCAATCATAAATATAAATAATTAAAATGGGACTCTTACATTATACTTAAAATTTTGCTTAGCAAGCATTCCAAATGTGGCCCATGAGAACATTGCAACATATTGTGACAGATTTAAAGCATCGGCTTTAAATTTGAATGCAGTTTTGTGAGGTGATACAGTGTAGTTCAGTGAAAAGAATTTTGTAGTAAGTATAAATTAATTTAATTTATTAAAATTCAAAATCGTTGATTCTATCAGAATCAAGATATATTCTTCATTTTATCTTTTTAAATATTTAAGAATCGTTTATATATAACTTAATCTGACTAATATAATTAAGATTGAACAAAAAGCAATGTTAATAATAGTAATAATTCACATTTCAGATCAAAATGTATTTAACATTAGTGGTGATGGCTCTTTGCATATCGTATTCTTATACAGAAAATAATAATACAGTTACAAATATTAAGTCATCCACGAATACAAAACAGTCAACTGGCTGCGCCTGCGCCATATTTTTAAGCGGACAATTTAAGAAAGGCAGCAAGGAACAACCCAAAGGATATCCTGCACTTATCCATGAATATCCTGATCCAATTTCATGTACTACTATTGGGAACAAACTTTGTGTCAACAAATGTCTTGAAATTGTAAGTTTAAATTTTAATCGTTAAGAAATTATATATCCTTAATTCTTAATAATTAATTATTAGTAATTAATATTTAATTTGTATTATCCTTCTAAGTTAAAATATTTATTAATAACAAAGAAATGAAATATTTTATAGATAGTGAAACATTTACCAAACAGTCAAGCAGTTCTATGTGCTTCTATCGATCGTGATTGTCACAAAGAAAGAGTGAGTACATGTATACACAAGTTAATTTTTATCATATCTTTATTTGAAATTATGAACATTATTTTGTGTATTGAAATCATATCATCTTAATATTTTTTTACAGGCTTATCTTTTTTTCAAAAATTGTAAAGATGAATGGATAAATACGAATCTGTCAGCCGGTAGAGAATATTGCTGCAAAGATGGCATGCCATATAAATGTTAATTAACATGTATTTATAGGATAGCATTTTTGCATCGAAATGACTTCAATTTTTATATTATACTTTGTAATCTTGACAATTTAAACAATTTTTAATAAATACATTCGCTTAATACTTATACTTTGAATATCCCACCATTTGTCTAAATATAGCTTGAAGATCATCAGATACGCTCCATAAAGACACGCAGGAATTCAACACGAATATCTCAAACCATCACCGTCCTTCTATATTTAGACTTCGAGATGTGAGAATTTTGTGTACGCGGTATCAGTGCAGAATCTATAATTCATAAAATTTGGAATTAGAGTGATCGTTGGTTATTAAGGCACATCCTGAACCTCAACTTTAAATTACTAAATCAAATTCAATATAGCCCCAGGAATTTCAATCAGATTACACTATGTCAGTTTTAAATTACACGATCGTACTGTTTATTGTTGCAACTTCACGACCTCACAGCACTTGGTCAACTATCTTGAAAATATTAAAAACAAGCAGTATAGTGGTATAGTTATAAACGCAAAAATATGCCACGTTTTATAGAAACTGTCAAAGTTGCGCAACATATGATTAGAAAAAAATATCAGCTTCCGTGGTAATAAAATATATATGCAAAATGTGTGCACGAGTCCTGGCATGTCCGCTGTGTTCGCAACCTGGATTTCTAACGCTTGACGCGCTACGAGCTGGACTTGTAAGTGTAGCGACTCGACCCTTAATATGTCCTGTCTGTAATGAAGTATTGTTAGGCATAGATAAATTAACTATACATTTATTTGGTCACACGATCAATCTGAATAATGCTACAGCAGAATCGTCTAAATCTACAGACATCGCTGCTACCGATGAGCATCTAATCGCTATCCACAATGCACACAACATTGCACCGCAGGACTGGAACATATTGAAGCAATTAGATAAAGTTGAAAGTGGTAACAACAAAACTTACACACCATCAGATTCTAATGTGCCGAATGTAGGAAATATTCCTGCTATAGATTCCCAGCCTAAAATGCAAAACCTAGATTCATCAACAAAAGGCACGAGTCAATCTAGTTTCGTATCAGATTACAATCGTGACGTGATTAAAGTGAACATTCTTCCGCAATCAAATGAGAATCATAACACAGTCCAGAAAGTAATCACAAATCTGCAACAAGAAACAAATTGTGTGATGCAGTATTTTTGTAATGATATCAAACATTTGAATGTATCCCAGGAAGCTATGCAGGCGGAGAAAACAGCTATTTCAAATTTAATTATTGCAACAAAGGTAGCAGGAACTGTGGACACCAACATCTATCAAGATATTGAAAAGGAATGTACTGAATCGAACAGTAGTCATCGTGTCTTAAAAGAAAAACTGATAACAGATTTAATTGAGAAAGAGCATGACCTTCCTAATTTTCAATCAGTCCAGAATATAATTGCAAGTGTCTGTGCGAGAATACTCGAAACAAATGCCGGGGATCAAAATCAAAATTTAGAACACGAGCAAATATTATCTCACACACAAACAAATGCCAAAACTATCCGTATGATAGCACCGAAGGAAAAAACGGAAAGATGTAATTTATGCGGCTTTTACTTTCCTGACACCAATATTTTAGCTTTACACGAAAAATTAGTGCACGAGCAGGACTCAAGCAATAATCTAGAGAAAGTTCTTAAGAATTACTCTTGCTATCTGTGTTCTAAGGTGTTCAAAATGAGAGGCAGTTTAATGGTGCATATGAGAGTAGCCCACATTGGACATAATTCAGGCAAGTAAATATCTAATTTATTATATTTAATTAATAAATAATTCAATATATTACTAATTTCTTAAAACACAACGGCACAATTTAAAATTTTTCAGAAAATAAGTTTCAATATTTTAAATCATTAATTTTTCAATAAATTAAAAAAATGACAATTTTTAAGTTATATCATTGTGTAGCAAATGAGTGATATGTAATTATTATTATAGTTTATAATTCAATATAATACGCAATTAAAGTTTTTTCACACATGATAGGTTCTTTTTCTAAAGGTAATCAAAATGAAGTCACCTGCGGCGACGTTGGATACGCGTGTCCCACATGTGGAAAGAAATTCAAAAAAGTGAGGATACTTTCACTTTTTATTTATGACATTCATTGCAAATGATACTTAATAAAAATATAAATTTTTCTCTTGCTTTTGCGTTTCAGGAGCAACATGTGATACAACATTTAAAGACTCACGAGGGGAAACAATGGGAGTGTGATACTTGCAGTAAAATGTTTACGACGAAATATTTTTTGAAGAAGCACAAACGACTGCATTCGGGAGAAATGCCTTACAAATGTAAAATATGTGACAAAAGCTTCACCTTCCAGCAATCATATCACAAGCACAGACTTTATCACAAGGATGATAAGCCGCACACCTGCGCGACTTGCGGTAGATCGTTCAAGGAACTCTCCACGTTACATAATCACGAAAGGATTCACACCGGAGAGAAACCATTCGCCTGCGAGACATGTGGTATGTTATGAAAGAACGAACATTAAAGATGAGCCGGTGCAGAATTAATCAAATAAACAATCGTTTGGAATTGACTAACAATTATCATTAATTATTTTGTTTGCGTAGTGTCTGTAATATTATGGTGTGCTGTGCATGGCTTACTGAAATGCAGGTAATTTTTCACGAGAAACGCTTATCTTATAAGTGTGCTGCAGGCCACAACAACGATAATAATCCTCCTACAATTGCCATACTAATTCTTCCGCAGGAAAGTGTTTCCGTCAGCGTGTTTCGTACTTAGTCCATCGTCGAATTCACACAGGAGTGATGCCTTATAAATGCACAATGTGTGGTAAAAGCTTCCGATACAAGGTACAAAGTGATCATTGAGTGTTTTCAGATGTATGCTCAATCTTTTGATAACTTACACATAATTCACACTTATAGGTGAGTCAAAGAACCCATAAATGTCCTGTACAAACTTCAGGCAGCACACAGCAATTGACATCTGATACACAAGAGGCTGATAACAGCACAATCAGGTCACAGGTCACTGATACCCTGCAAGAAAATCAATCAATAACAAATACCGCCGATGAGGAAAATAAGTTCGTTTTGATAATAAATGCTCAAGGACAACCTGTTTTAGCGTTGCAATCAGAAATAAATAACATATCCTCTGAAAGAAAGGAACAAGGCATTAAATTTACAAATACCAGCAATACTAACGAAGATCTAAAGAGCAAGACATGGGGTGACGATCTCAATAGTACGGGACTAAAGGAGTCAGCGGAATTAATTGAAAGAGTACAATCGAACAATGAAAAGATAGATGCAAAAAGCACGAACGATTTCTTTTCCATAGTGATGTCACCTCTTGAAACTAGCATATCATCTTCGACGTTTGAAATGGAGCACTTGAGAGTATCTTCGCCTAAACATAAAGAGGATCCGATAGATTCTTACACCGACTTGCCACAGGTTTCTGGAAATGTACAAATGAATTTAGAGCCAGACATAGAGCAAAACTTTAGCCATAATAAGGATGTCACAGAGTCTCTGCAAACCATAAATGAAGAATCATTGAAAGAATTGCTATATGGTATGGATAGAAGATGAAGCAAATATACACTTACAACTTAAGTGGCTCCTAGATAATCAATATATTATTGCAAAATATTATTGATTGTCTAGAGATTTTAGACTATTTGTTTTAAATTATTTAAAAGAGGCATTAATAAAATTGTTGTACAATATTGAGCATCTAAGGACTGTTTTAACAGTACAAACTACAGCAAAACTCCATTTATCTAAATATGTTGAGGGACAAGATAATTGGCGCCATTCTATCTTTCTATCTTTCATGGCAATGATTACAATGTTAACAAAGCAAACTTATGTGGATTTGTATGTATCCCCAAATAAAAAGTATTGAAGAACTCAACTATGAGTTTGTATAATTGAAATTGAATATGAATTTGTTTGTATAAATGGAATACAGATAAATGGAGTTCTACAGTAAATGAAATAGATTAACACTTATTGTAGATAAATATATATATATATAGAACAAAAATATTTATTCAAAATATAAAATTTAAAAATTATATTATATTGATTGCTTTTGCAATTCAATTATCACCTGTATAAATCAATTGTATAGAATATAGATAAAACGATATAAACAATTGTATAATTCGCTATTCTTAGAAATAATTGCAAATAATGACAAACTTAGGAATAATAGCTAATTTGACAACATATATTGATTTCTGATATTATTAGAAACTGCTATACATGAAGATAAAATTTAACAATAAATACAAAAGTAATACAACCAATCTAACAGATTAAAAATGTTCAATATAAATATATTAAGCTAAAGATGTAATCAACTGATAACATCAACTAGTGTATTTCAGCTGCTAAAATATCTTTATTAAGTTTTTCTGTTAAATAATTTTATATATGAGTTACACTAAAAACATAACATTCAATAATTGCACTTACAAATGTATATTAAATTTACATATATTGATAGCAAACACAAAAACTTTCCTTTTGGAGACACAGTTGACATAAACGTCGTTCTATCCTTCTTGGTATTCACTACAATGAATAACAAAGATAAAATGATATTTATATCAATTGTCTTCTAAAAGGAAAGCAGCCAAAGTCTGGATACCAACAAAAATAATAGCAAAATATCAGATTACAGAAACGAATAATAATAAATAAAACACTGTTCTACGAATCACAAAACATTTCCTGAAATTTATCTTGTGATCAGAAATTCTTGTCAACTAAATTACAAGATAAATATAAAGCGACATAACCTATTAAACTTACTGTTGATACAGTGTCATTAATTCTGGCTGAAACAACAACATATATATTTATTCCTGTTTCGAATATTTCCTCTATTATGCTATATGTTACGATAACCTTAATTTTATAACGTTTTTCACTGCAAACTAGTGCAATATTGGTGCAATTAAGTGCAAATTGGTTTACATATTTTCGGTCTTAATAAATAATTTGATCCTTTTAAATTTGTAACAACAAAGAATATACAATTAAACGGGTTAATTTTATTAATACCGAAAATACGTGAATTAATTTGCATTCAACTGCACTCAGTGTGTACCAGTGCTGCACCAATTCTTCCAATGAAAAAACGCTAATAGCTGCAAAGATCTGACCTAATGGCAAGTGTACATACAGCGTTGTCAGCTGGATTACGTCCGATGCAACAATTGGTCGGCGCAACTGGAGAACTGGAAACTTGACGCGTCCACCAATCAGATGTAAAATACCGAAACGGTCGCGATACGAGCCACAACATCAAACCTCTCGATGAACTGCTTGTGCTGCGGTCGAGATATCTCGTAGCAGACGACGCGCCGCGCGGATCGACTTGACAGCTCACTCCGTATTTTCACGTGTCCCATCGCGCATCGCGTTGCGTAACTGGAGTCCGACTTCCAGGGAGGAGCTCCCTTTTTGCGGTGAGTAAGGAACATTCGCGTTACATTGGCGACGAGGATATCATTTTTATCGTCGTCATCATCGGTTGCGACGATCGACCGATCGACGGACGACAGACAGCTGATCGAATGCGACGTGCAGACGCAGGCAGGAACGCAGGCTGTTTTGACATCGCCACGGGTAGCCGTTTGCAGTCATTTATCGATGGCCAATTGGCCCCTGCCGGATATCTTTTCCCCCAGCCAATCGTAGCCGCTCGCCGCGATCGGGACCGGAAATCTAGCGCAATCTGTTACAACACGATAAAAAAAAGCGCTGTCTTTTTCGCCCCGCTCCCAATGTCGTCGTATTTTAACGCGACGCAATCAGACGCAATGCGACGCAGCGAAATGGAACTGGAAACGATGAGAACCGTCGTGATTTGCGTCTCATGTTTTAATATTTAAACGCCATTTCCGAACGACGTAATATCTCGATCGGTTATGAACGTATATACACATATCGTATATACATATTTACGATCCGATCGGACCTTGAAAAGCGCGAGTGTATGTTTGCGCAAAAGCGGCAGTACGACTCATAAAACCGGTCGTCGACGAGACGACAGATAAGATACTTTTATCGTTCGAGACACGAACGCGAAGCGATTGCCGAAAAATCGATGTTTCTTCCACCAGTGCGGCGGAATTAGGAATTTGCGTTATCTCGAGAACTCGTGTCGGATAAACAGAGAGGTCTCAGATGAATGATACGCGTTTCTTCTCCAGTCAGTTTTACTTCGTCGTAAAGGTGAACGATGACAAAATTGTTTCGTGCGAACGTCATCAATTTCCGGCGATAACGCGCACGTCAGAATAAATACATAAGCGCGGGTTACATAAATGGTACGCGCGCGCGAAAGGTACGTCAGCGTCGCGCGTGTATTACGCACGTATCATTTTATTTCTTTTTTTCTTTTTTAAATGGAGAATTCGATCGATCGATTACGCGAACGGTCCGCGATACGGAACTTCAGTTACCTCGGAAAAGCGGGTTTTACGTAAGCGCACACGGCGATCACCAACGGACAGGTTCTCGCTGGCCGCCAGTAAAAATGTAAATTTAAAAAACGGCCAGGCAAGATGGCGGTTCGCGCGCCACGCGGTCGCGGCGCAGGAGCGGCCAGGCAGTGTCCCTGGACCCTGGATCGAGAAGAGAATCCTGCGCATGCGCGCGACAAAGGGCTGATGTCTTCTCCGTGTCCTCCCCGTCGCGGGGGAGAAGTAACTTTTAATCGTTTATTCGGTTTATTTTAAAATTTTCTGATCCCTCAACGCGGCCATATTGGCCAGTGACGTCAGAAGCGAGAAATCATGCGAACTTTTTTCCTTGCACTATGTGTACATCGTAATAAATTAGTTCCTCGCTCACAATATAATGTCATTCGCGTTCGATAGTCATATTGGCTGGGGTGTCCCCGACCTGGTGTCGTGATCGAACAGGAAGTGGAATTTAATCAAAAAGTTTAACTGTAAATAGAATGAATAGAGTAAAAAAGTTTGTATGCGACACTACATTCTCATGAAATATGATTTTGAAAATTAATGATATATTAAGTTTCTGAAATATTTTATATATTTTGTTGAAAAATAGTGTTCTTAATATTTACATGTAACGTTTTATATTTTTTATTAATTTTGTATTAATACTGACGCATAATATAAATGAATTAAAAAATTAGTAAGTACGTAATTAAATCGATTAACTTAATTTTTTACGTGTGCCTTAAAATTTACACTTAATGTAACACGTAATATTTCATCAGCTCTATTTCATCAGAAAGCTCAAGAGAGTAAGAGAAGGACGGAAAAATGACATAGGTAGAACACGGAAATCAATCATCTCAAGGATATGTTATCATGATTTTATTTACTTAGTTACTTACAAGTTCATTCATAAGTGACAAATAAAATCATTATGTTATCTATGACTACTCTATGATAGATACTTTCCATGTGACATTGTTCTATCTTTGTTACTTACTGAACGTCAAGAAAGATAAAATGCTTGTGTCGACTTGTATCACTAAACAGGAAGTATCTGATATATTGTGACACAATTTAACGTACTCTAGGCTTGTATTTTTTCCATACCTTAGAATTGAATTTCTTTTGAATTCAGGGTTCACCTTTCTTCTTTTCCTTTTCACATTGGAAAGAAAAAGACAAAAGATGAACCCTACAAGAAATTCAGTCCTAGGATATAAAACAACAGGTTTTCTATGTTCTACCTAGGAAGCGCATATGAATTCATTGCATCTCTTTCCCAGGACCCTAATTTTATCATTTTTAACGATAGTTGATATCATTATATTCATTATGTTGCGCAGTTTTTCATCACACATAATGCGCAATATAATATAACGCACGTGACAATACTGATAATGTTATTAAAATCAGTCGAAATAAATAAAAAATAATGTAATATCAATGTCATAATTTTGCATTCATATAATATAAAGATATAGAAAAAATATAAAGATATAGAAAAAAATAGCGCCGTCAGCAAAATTGTATTTTTAACAGTGAATATTTTCTATGTAAACAATAAATGTTATTTTTGTCAATGTAAGTTTCAGTTTTGTAAATAAATATTTGTTTATTGTTAACTAAACAATAAGTTCACTAAAATAAATCACAAAAACAAATTCTTATTTATCAATACGGCGAAGTAAAATTTTATTCCTAGCAGATAAACCATCAGCTGTTTTATTTGTTCACAAAATTATGAAATATGTATATTTCATGGAAAAATATATTTTATCATCACAATTTTTTTATAATATATTTTTTTGTAATATATAAACATAAATATCGAAGAAAACGTTATATGATATTTGCTTGTGAATTTGACTTTTTTTCTCAGTGTAGCTTAAATTGTATCTCGAATAAAAATATTTATTTATATCAACTAAACTGTTAGTATAAAAAATATTTTATTATCTATAAGGCTGAAAAATGTAGCAGAAGTAATTAAGTTCGTTGTTCGGTAAATAAAATATTTAATTGTGTCATTAAAAAATGTTTCAACTAATGAATTTCGTTAAAGACACTTAAATTTTTTTTTCTTAATATAATATAACATCACAATATTACATAACAATTACACTGTTGAATGCAAAATTATAACATTTACTGTCACCTTTAATAATTTTAGTTGATGTCGATTGAAGAGTTGCATTCAGAAATTTCATCCAGATATCATTTTTTATCCTTGTATAACATTTTATGAATAACAGAGATAAAATGCTGAATTCTTGAACGCACTTCTAAGAAATAAGATGCGATAAATTTTCATTGAGCCCCAATGAGATGCCTCAGCGTAGCGCACACTCAAGTACAGCCCTGATGCAGATAATCAACGGTGATTGGTGCGCGCGACAGGGCACCGCGCGGTGGCAGCGGCGGGGAGAGGGGAAGTGAGGTGCTTCTCCCTCGCGTAGATTGGCGACAGGTTTCCGAACGCAGCGTGTAGCGTGTATTAGCTTCCGCTTGGCTGTGGCTGACTGGTCCCGCTGATCGTGTGCGCGCGCGCGTATACCGTGTGCGTGTCTACTGGTGTCTGCGTGCCTGCCGTTGCCTCGTTATCTCGCCTTGGCTGTGCGTGCTGGCATTGCTGGTTTGGCTCGGCTGGCTCGCTGGCGTGTGACATTGGTGACGGGGGCGGAGCGTTCTGCGGCCACCCAGTCCTAACCAACCCGTGGCTCGACCATCGATATTCCTGATTCCGCCGACTCGGCTACAGTGCGCGTCTCGTCTCGATCGCGTTCGGCGTGAAACGTTTTCCCCTCGTTGTTCGACGATCGTCCAGCGGGTGTGTGTGCGTGTGTGCGTGCGTGCGCGCGCGCGCGCGTGTGTGTGGTGTGTGTGCGTGCGTGCGTGCGTGCGTGCGCGTGCACAGTGTGTACGTGTATATGCGTACGTGCGTACGTGTATGTACGTGTGTACAGTGCGTTATACTACACGATTCCCCTGTGCGCCGTGGCGCGGACTCGCGGACAGCCACGAACGCTCTCTCATTCCTCCGCTTTGCTCGGCTGTTCTGGGCTGTCCTGGGCTGTTCTCCGAGCCCAGTGTCCGTGTGGCGCGTGCCTATGCGCTACCTTCGGTGTGTGAAACGATAAAACGAAGGAAACATCTCGTCTCGTTTCGTCTCGTCTCGTCGCGTTTAATCACGTACCAGCAGGCCGAAAGTGAGAATATCAGAGCTAAGAGGATCGCGAAATCTCGTCATCGTTTCGTCATCGTCGCCGCGATGCCCTGGGCGTGTTTCTCCCGCATTCAGGTAAATAGCAAAACACTCGATTCGCAAGTGTACTGTTTTCGAATAGAGTTCCTTGCCGAGAGGCATCAGTGCGTGGGGTGAACGGAGAGAGAAGCGGGTGGGAGGAAGAGCAAAGAGGCGACGGACGTAGGTACATACGGTGACGAGAGGGATGGGCGAGATAGGATTGGAGGGAGGGGGTGGGGGAGTGGCGAGAAGGAGAGGAGGGAGAAACGGGGAAGAGAAGAGGAGCTCTACGAATAAGGGCGCCGCGGAGACGGAAGGAGGAGAGAGAGGGCTTCTCTTTTTTGGAGGATTTCAACCTGAGGTCACGCACGACGGAGCGAGTGAGGCCGAGCGCGTGCGGGTCAGAGTAGGACGAGGAAGAGTGGAAACCCGTCCTCCATTGCTCGATCGTGAGAGAGCAAATGGTGGCTCGTTCCACGAGTCTCTTTGTTACGTTACAAATACGAGTTTCGAGGAGCGAGAGCCCCTCTGCAACAAAGCGTTACTCCGCCGTTACCGCCGCTGGCTGTCTCCGTACTCGCGAGTCGCGTCTTTGTCGCGACTGAGTATTCTGAGTAATCCGTCAAACTCGCCGTCGAGATAGGGAGAAGGGGCTCCCCCCCGTGATGTCAACGGCACAATTTCGCGTCAGTCAGTGATACCGAACGGACGGACAGATAGACGAACTCAAGATCAAACCAGACTAGTCAGCAGTCGGTCGACCAGCCAACCAGTCAGTTTAGCTAGGCCAGCGAGCGAGCCAGCGAGCAAAGTAGCAGTTGTAGTGTTTGTTATGATTCTCGGTTCGTTACTATCTTCTTTGCTGCCGCGTGGGGGGAAACGTTAATTGCGTATCGCGCCCCGCGGTCGTTTTATTTAGTCACGCTCTTGTTATCCGAGCGCATATGGCTCGAGCTGAGGCACCAATCCTTTAATTTTCTCTCTCTCTCTCTCTCTCTCCCTTTCTCTTTTTCTCTCTTCCCCCTTCTCTCTTTCTCTCTCTCTTTGTTTCCCTCTTCTTGGAAATCGGGCTGTCGATATCGCTGTTGCTATTCAGTTCGTGGCGTTGCAGCGAACGCCCGAGGTCGGCGATGGATCCGCGAGGTCGCGTTTAAGGAACATGAGGTATTTAAATTTTTTTTTTAATGCGCTCGATTAAAAATCCACGGTTCTAATTTTAACGGTGGCCGTCACGCGATAAAACGGCCTGTTTCGTTTCGCGTGTCCGTCTGTCTGTGTCGTCTGTGATTTTCGGGAACGAGTGATAATCGAAAGTAAACGAACGCAACGGGCGTCTGTTAATGTTTTTCTCCAACAAAGGGGGGGCAGACCGCGATGAGAAGTCTCGCGTCCGCGACGCACGATCCGATCTGATTCGTACATCCGATTTTTTTTTGTCTTTCTCTGCGAATGCGACCAGCTCTCCATTATCGTCGCTTTCGTTGTTACGCATCGTACTTATTCACGAATAAGAGTGTTACGTGGTAACTTGCAAGTAGTTTGACTTGACACTTAATCATCTTGAAAGATACAAAGTATTCTTTTTTTTTTTGTAAGGAATAGGATTTTTGTCGTTCATTTACAGAAGCCATTTTATATATTAATTTTGCACGTAATATATGGGTATTCCTAAGGAATAGGATTGATATATTTATTGTTGGTGTCACGGTTTATTTACAGAAGCTATTTTATCCATTAATTTTGTACGTGTATATAGGTTTGTTCGCGTTGCTAAAAATCCTCCAAAAATTTATACTTAAAACAAAATGTATTTCGGATGTTGAAAAGGTAGAAAGCGAAGATATTGAGTGCAAAATATGCAAGTAACGCAAACAAATCGTATGAATAATAAATCTATCAGTTTTCAAAAGATTTTTTTTTGCCCAAGGTTATTCTTAAGAATGTGTATTTGAACTTTTTATACGTATTCTTATGTGTTCTTACGGAAAAGTAATTTATGGGATTTTTCCATTTATGCCCGTTTCTTCCAATGTAGATTAACTTTAATCTGGTTCAACTTATTCTTCATTCTTTTTTAATTCTTAGAATCAGGAAAAGATGAAGAGTTAGACCAAGATAAAAATTAAACTATCTATATTAGTAACACAAGTCGACACAAATATCGTTTTGTCTTTGTTATTTATGGAATGCTGAAAAAGATTAGAACGATGTTTTTGTCAACATGTTTCACAAGTATCTTTGTGGATATAATACTTTTCAATAAGTGATACAGATGATACGATGTAGCACAGTGAATTATTTCATCTTATTTAATATTGATAAATAACAAATGTAAAGATTTATTGTTCTTTTTATTTAGTGACACAAATGCCATTTTATCTTGGCATCAAGTAAAAAGAAAACATGTGTTATCTGTCTCTTACTGAAAAGTGTCTTATGTCTTAAACAGTGCAGTTATAAATGCGTGTAAATACAGATGAGACAATCACCATATTTACATATGTTATGTAATTAATAGTGTGGTTTCTCTTTTACAGACAGAATAGTGGCATGAGTCGATTAATCTATGGCAGATCAACAAGATCAGTTGTCATCAGGGGGGTCTGTAGAGAAGGCCAGTGCTTCAGCAGACACCTCTAAGTCAAGGGGGAAAAGCTCTAGTAGTGGCTCGAGTAGCTACAGAAAACGACAAAGTACTGGTGCGATTCCAGATAGCGTGGAAGAGAAGAGGCGTAGACAGACCACCAGTGACCCACAGACATCTCAAGTGGACAGTAATACACCGCACACGCATTCGATTGATTCTTCTAAGGGAGAGGGCAGAATCAGAGGTGAACGAAGAAGTCATGGAGCTGGCTTAGAATCTTATTCAGGTAATTACAGCATCGAACAAAGTGGGATATATAATAATCCAAACGCTTTACTATGAGTGCTTTTCATTTGGTGACAAAAAGTTTTATCTTTCTTAACATTTGATGAGAATAAAGACAGAACGACTTGTGTCATTAAATGGAAAGTATTTTATAATTTCTCTTTTGAATGTAGTTTAATATTATATCACCTGTGCAATCTTAATTTTTGCTCGTTATTACATAACATATAAATGGACTTGTTAATTTTTTTATTACACTTTGGTACTTGAGTTCTTTCAAATCCTTATCTTTATTAATAAATCGATTTATACGATCGCTTTGAAATATTGCAACAGAAACCGACTGGAGGTCTCATAAGATTCACCAAGTCAGTTACAACAGTAGCAATACAAGGGTGCGTAGTGCAGCGAGGACGAGTCTACCAGAGTCAAGTTTAACACCTACCGATTGTGTGGCATCGCGAACTCGTTCCCGTACACCACAGAATCCTCAAGCATTGACACAGGGAACTAGCAGTTACGATCTATCACTATCCAGTGGATACGGTAGCCGAAAGACAAGTACCTACAGCAGCGTGGTAGCTTCATCGAGTGCTACATCGATCACTAGTCATCCATCCACATCGAGAGGAAGAGGAGGTTAGTGCACACTTTTCTAGCCGTTATTGTTGATCGTAGGATTGTGATGTGTGATTTGCGTGAAGATACAATTTTGTTTTGAGATTGTTTACGTCTATAATGACTCTTAAAACTGATATCAAAATTTAAATCAAAACTTTAACAAGTACTTGCATTAACAATTCATGCTATATATATTTTATTAATTATCTTTTGTTCTTTTTTTTTAATTTTTTAACTTCAGTGATAAAAATAAAAGTTTTTTAAAATTGTTTAATTTATAATATATAACATAGAGTTCTAAGATTTAAATTTTAATAAATTGATAATAAACTTTTTTTTAATTTTATGTTAAGAAATTTGGATATGATAGAAAAAAGCAAAATCAATAAATATTTTACATCAATAAATAATTCATAACAAACGTTACAATATTAGCTAAGAAAAAAAATCTTTTTAAAATGTTTAATTATGAATATATTATAATTATTATGTTTAAGCAATGTTAATTACTCTATTAAGTTTAAAAGAATTCTCTTTTGTAGCTCTGATTGTTTTATAATAAAAAAAAACAGAACGGTAACCAATTTGATTCTTTAGTGTAAATTTGATTTTTTAAACAATGCATACAGAGAGAAGAAAGAACAAATTGTATAGCTAGGTAACATATTAGCTTACATAAATCCAAACAAAAAGCTCTTTATGAAATACATATCTCTATATTTGCACATGTACGCAATTTATCTCTACTTGTTACATCTCTATTTGTGTAACGTTTGCTAATTTGTTAGCAGACTTGAAAAATTTTTTATTTTTGGAAATATAAAACAGTATACAGAAATATATGATACAGAACTCGTGCGTTTTATTATAAATTTTGATCCAATATCGTCAGGTGAATATAACGACAGTCTTGTGTGTAATATTTGTGTAAATGAAAGGGAGTGATTTGGCCAATAAGAGGCAAAGAAAGTGTGAAAATGTTTCGAGAGATAGGAATAAATAATAAAATTTAGAAAACGCAAGCATTATCAAGATAAGAGTCATAGATCAGACTGTATCATTAGGCCAGAGGATGAGCGAATGTCTGGAAGGATTTGTGTCTGCTGTCAAAGCACTTTTTCCAATATCAACACAAACCTACCATCAAGAAGGTAAGCTTAAGGAGTACACATTCTTCGTACCATTTTCTTCCTTTCCCTTATTTTCTCTTACAAATTCGCAAGTAGCTTAAATGAACATCCGAGTCATTGAACTCTCCATTCTGAACTTATTCTCTATACATCATAATGCAAGTATCATCATTTACTGTACTTAATATCAGGTAAACTTCTGTATCAAACTCATTCATGCATGATATTAATTATGTAAATATAATTAAGGGAAATACAATTCTATCCAACTTCTTTGATACTTATGTTTTATTAAATCTGACAATTATCACGAATACGGTAATTAAAAACGCATCGTGACTTAACATAACGTTAAATCTAAATCTTTTTTGTTACACACACATAATAAGATTATATTAATAATTTATATATAATTGGATATATAAAAATTAGAAAGAAGTATTTTCAAATTTATTATAATATGAAAGAAAAAGTTATCTTTTATATTTAGAAGTATATATTGTACAAATATCGTGCTGGAAGTGTTTATGAACTGTTTGCAAACATTTTCGTAAAGTTATCTAACATATCATACATCATACAATTATATATAAATCGAATAACTTTTAATTGAGTAAAATATTATAAAAGCTATCAATATCGAAATTATTATTATTTCAGTTTTTATATTATTTTGGTTTTAATTTAGAATAATATTTTTTTGTACAATTGGAATCATAATATAATCGCAATATTATGAATTTATTTTTAATATAACAATTCCAATTTTTATTATGTAAGTTGTAATAAATATCTTAAAATTTTGAGTGTTTATTTCTTATTTTTTTCTATTTCTTTATTTTTTTGTATCGCTAATATCTTATTGCTCTCGAGATAATATGTTAAAACTGGTATTAGAAATCCTGTGAATAAGCAATTTTTTCTGTGGAATTCTGTATATCATTATAAGGTTAAACTGATCTTGCTTTCTTTCTTTCAATACATAATAGAATTGATTGAATGTAGTTAATACATATACATTCAAGTACAATTGTCTCCGGAAATTTCTTTTTTTATGTCGATATTAGTATTCTTCAAATTGACATATTCTATAGCATTTTCTCGCAGAAATATCATATTGCTTTAATATTAGAAACTTATAATTAATTCATTCTTTTAAAAGAAGCTTTCATCTTGAAAAGAGTGTAAAAGACGATTTTTATGTAGTAATATCTTTGTTATCGGATATTACCATTTGTAATCATTAATCTTCTTTTTTATATTTGCTAAGTAATTGGCTGTTATGCGAGTTTAGAATTAATATGAAATGTATAAAATGTTCCTATTTTAAATATATTTAATAATTTTGATAGTTTTCAGCTTGTAAACTTGCAATACACCGAGCGATTAAGTCCAGTAACGATTACGTAAGGTAGAAACATGAAAAGTAAAAAAATGTTTATCATTGAAGCTAATGGAGGAATTTTTCACTTTCCACATTTTTGCCTTAGTGAAAAAGTTCTGGTACCCAGGTATAATTTTTAATCTCATAAAACTCAATGTATTATTTCAAAAGATATTTTTTTCCCCCAAATCCATTTTAGTACTTGCTCTAGCAGCCACAATACGAGTCATCAAGATTTATGGAAATGGGGATGACACGTAGTATCTTTTCTTAACGCGAGGAAATCAAATACCATGTCAAAACTTGGTCATTACAAGGCAACATTATTGAACATAATTAGTGTTTTGTACAACCGATGGTGAAGAAATTAAATGTTTTTCCTTCAGATAACAAATAGAAATTGCTCAAGATTTTCTTCTGTTGCTCGATGAAAATTGCTTGTAAATTATAAAATTGTTAGAATGAAATTTATTTAAAATAGGTGCATAATCTTTGTGAATTTATATTTTATCTATCATAACTTTTTTTACCTGTTAGTATTTAGACAATACTTAATATTGTCTTAATATCGCAGTCTCTAATCTCTGTGAGAAAGTATGCAACATTAAATGTTGTTAAAACTGTATGATTTTAACTAAGAAGATATTCATAAACTGAACAAAAACAAAACAATTAAAGGGACATAAAAAAAATCAATTAAAGGAACAGTTTTAAAAAACTATTATGCTTGGTTTTATATAAAAATATTTAATAGATATTTTTACAATCGACAGGCAAAATTGTATATAAAATTGCATAAGACACATCATGATAGAAATACATCACCTATAATGATTTAACTTGCGAAAATGTTTGACTTTTGTAATTGTGCACACAGAATAAGAGTCATATTGTTTTCTTTTTCGTTTTGAAGATAATTTACGTCTATTGAAAGTGTAAATAAGATATGTTACATATATGTATTTATACAGCAACTTTGACATCCATATATAAATAAGAATGTGCGCAGTTAGACAGCCACACGCAACAAGTTTCATCCTAATCTTTACCCTATGTATCTCAATGATTGTATGACATTTGGATATTTTAGATTCGAAATCTCACGGCGGTGCGACCTGTAGCGCAACGAGTAGCAGCACGAGTAGTCAAGTCCTGGGTGTCAAGTCCAGCATCAGAGTGGGTAACGCAGCAAGTAACTCTGTGGAGAGTGGTGGGGGGGCGTTGGCACATGACGGGGCAGGCACGAGTGGCATTGCTTCAACGGCCACTGCCAATCCACCTGTGTCTGCCACCGTTTCTGCCAACCCTACACACCCTCATTCTACACACAAGCACCTGCTACGCTCTCGCGCGAAAGCTACTGGTGAACAGCCGAAGGAATTGCCATCTAGCAACAAGACTTCGGGGAAACATCACAAGAAAGACACTACAACGGGTTCCTGTTCAAGTTCGAGGTAACCAGTCAGAGATACTTTTCTCTTCTAATTCAGTTGCGAACTTGACAAGATCTTACGTAATCAGTTAACAAATTATAATGATATCTCTGGTTGGCATTGTTACAGACATCGCTCTTCATCACGCGTGAGGAAGCCGGTGGTGGAGAGCGGCTCCGGATTGAGTAGTGTAATGTCAGGCAATGACTCTATCAGCGCTACCTCTGTATCATCCTCTATTCCAAGCAGTCAGTTAGTCTCAACTACAGGTGAGGAGGAGTCAGCATCAACTGCGACATCCGCCACAGGTTAAATGCTATTGATGTCTAAGCTTAATAGATATTTAATGCTTGATCAATTTTGTTGTACAATGTTAGATCGCGTCATTCAAAATTTCGATTTCCTACTTGCACGCGAAGCTGGTGGAGGACCATCTGGAATGTCGGGAACGACAGGTGATAGCGAAAGCGACGATGGAGAAGTTGGACGATTGCAAGCTTTATTGGAGGCTAGAGGTCTACCGCCTCATGTGTTCGGTGCATTAGGACCGCGGATGCAACACTTACTTAACAGAAGCATGGGCGCAAGTTCCGGTATGAAAATTCTTTTATCGATATATTGTAACTCTTCTCTCTCTCTTAATTGAAACAGTTCACAAGTCACGCGTTGTTTGTGAATCGATTATAGTTCTAATAGGTATAGACTATGCATTCCTTGAACTTAACATCTGTGCTCTGTTAGAAAGAATTGAGTCATATCTCTGTTTAGTTCACTATTTTAGAAATAGAAAAAGCGATATGAATCAAGTTATCTCACTTTCAGCTATCTTTCTAAACCGATAACAATTTTATAGAAATGTGCAATCTATTCTTATTATATTCATGTTTGTGACAACCATGGTTGATAAAAATTGTTTTTCTTTCTTTTTCTTTTTTTTTCTTTTTTTTTTTTTTTTAAGAATAAAACATGGTATTTCTTCTTAAATATATTTTTAATACTTTGAACATGCTTTACATAATATTAAAAAAAAACGTGTTTAAAATATGTTAAAAACATCAATTAAACATGTTTTAAACTGTTTAAAACATGTTTTTTGCCAACCTCTATGACAATCTATAAATAATCTTTAATTATACGGCACACTTCGCTTCTATAAATAGCATGTCAAAATAACGTTTATTCAGTATACTGATCTTTAAACTAACAATTTGCAGCTGCTAAAGCGCAACAACTTCTAGCCGGCTTACAAGCTGTTGAGGATGAGGGAGAACAATTGCAGGCCGTCATGAATATGGGAGAGATTCTTGTAATGGGCAACGAAGATACTCTAACCGGTTTTCCCGTCAAACAAGTGGTTGCAGCTTTAATTAATTTATTGGGGATTGAACATAATTTTGCGATAATGACCCATGCGTGTCGTGCTCTTACGTATATGATGGAGGCGCTACCACGGTCGTCCACTGTTGTAGTGGATGCGGTGCCAGTGTTCCTACAAAAACTCGAATCGATCGAGTGCATGGACGTAGCTGAACAGTGTTTGACAGCATTAGCTATGTTGTCACGCAGACACAGCAAAACAATTTTACATGCGGTATGTACACATGTTCCTAACTTGCATATAATGCAATTGCATTTTTTTCTTAGTTTACTCATGTATTTTTCTTGTAATAATTGACTTAACTCATAATTTTATATATAAGAATTTTTATTACAAAATCATCAAAAGATTTATATTGTTATTCGAAATTTTGTATTCTATATCATGACTTTTGATGACTTTATATCTTGATGATTTTATTGCATTCTTAATATTTCTAAAATTGTTTAAAAAAATAATGATTTTTATATTTTCAAAGTGGAAAATTATATATAAATACTATTAAATATTTTAAATAGAATAATTTAGATTTGAAATTTTTACGTTTTTCATGGATACAAAATGCGTTCTTCCTCTATTTAGCGATAGATCGTTCTATCTTTCTTGGCATTCCATAGTAACAAAGGCAAAACGATAGAGTTATGTCGATTTGTGTCAGCAAATGGAAACCATGTATAGCATATATAGGTCGAGCATATACTATATGCCAAGTATTTGCTGGTGGCCTCTCGTGTAAGAGAGAGGAAACACAATTCTCTTCTCTCTCTAAGATTATTCTCTGTCTGTTAGAGAGAGAAGAGAGTTCTGAGTTGCGTTCCGTCTCTCTCACATTCGAAAGCTAGGTCTCGCGCGTCATACTCGGTTTATCTATATTGTATCTATAGTGCCCTTAATAACCAAGATATTTCAAATGTTCAAATTAGATAAAAAATTTATCCTTTTATGTGATGCTTTGGGAACACATCTGGCGATTTTTATTATTTATAATTAATTAAAAATAAATTTATTATTTAAAATTTAATTGCAAAATCTTGTTATTTTTCAGGGTGGGGTTTCAGCCTGTTTGAAATTTGTTGATTTCTTCAACATCACAGCACAACGTGCAGCGTTAACAATTACTGCAAACTGCTGCCAAAACCTTCATCCTGACGATTTTCATTTAGTAGTGGATAGTTTGCCATTATTAACGAGCAGA